TAGAGTAGAAATGTTCAATAAGTTTTATACCCATGCCGATGGAACTCCATCAAGTACCATAGTTGCTGAGAATTTGGTAAGGATCCGAGAACACAAGCCTATAATTTAATCCTTTGTTTTCAGACAAGCTTTTGCAATAACAAGTGTTTTCCTTTATAATGTAGGAAAAAATGAATGAGCCGAAAAATCAGCTTCCATCGGATTCGCAAGATCCAGTTGGTCGCGATGATATATTTGCCCAGGTAGTTGGCCAAGACAAACATGGTCATGTTCGCTTGTTTAGTGACGGTGTGAATCCAACGGACTTATGGGAAGACATTCCTAGTCGTTACACATGTTACCGTATAAGTGTTCAATAACAGTCAACATTGGTCCGTTTGGAGGAAAGGCTTCAGCAACAAGATGATGAAATAGCCAGCTTGAAGAAAATAGTTTTAGTTCAACATGGAAGGGGCTCTCCAATTGACAGCCCGAGACATCCTTCATCACCATCTAACAATAAGCCATACTCCATCGCGAGCCACATGACCTATTCGAGTAAGTATTTACAACTTTTAAACTTTTACATTTGTAATCTGGAATTTGGCATGAGTTTGATTCTTGTACTTGTTGGATCTTTACTAGGTAGGGAATATGGTTTCACTAAAAAATTTGTTTGACCCAACAAAAATCGTGGCAAAGGGATATTTATGGAGTTTGAATCCATTGGATGAGGTCAGGGGACAAGCTCTTGGGCCAAACTAGTGCGAAATACATATACAAGTTGAAATGAGTCCACGTGAGCAATTGATTAGACCGTATGATTTGCAACAAACAATTCAAGATGCACTTGGTGCACCAGTTGCTTGGCCTTATCATTTGGTGAGATATGCACTACTTAAATACATTGCGTATTTTCTGGAATTTTAATGACTTTGCTATGATGATCTAATGATCCCCTTGGTCTTTGTGCACAGGTGGAACCAGCTGAAGAATGATGGGAACTTCATAGTTATGACTGAGGACTCTCAACAAAATGGAAAGTTTGGAAGCTACTTCTACTTCTTTCAACTTGTTAGGGATGAGAGTCTTTTAGTTTGTGCATAAGAAAGTCTTTCAAGTTATTGTAAATGAGAATCTTTTTGTACTTTATTGGGATTTTAGTACTTGCTTTGAGCACTTGTTTGCGATTTTAGTACTTGCTATGTTTGTATTTGTTATTGACTTTTAATCGGATGAATTATGTTTAAGTATCGACTTCTTCTTTTAAATTGCTATATGCATTCTGCTCTTTGGAATAATTTTACAAGTCCTTTGGGATTCTGGTTGATGGAATGTACAGTAGGGAGGACTAATTGCAGGTTGCTTCCATATAAAAAAAAACTGGGAAAAAACTCCTGGCAATTAAAAGTGTCACCATAGCTTAACTTCGAAAAACACTAATGACAAATGGGCATGTCGTCCAAAGCAGTGTAAATTCACATGACTACGTGTCCTTAAAGCCATATATTAAGACAACTCAAGATGCCTTCATAAACTGGATATACTAGTAATCTGCTACTGATGTTCTAATGCTATATGGACACTTTTGATTATCACAAAAAAAAGTTTTTGTTGGCAGAGGTAATGCTATAGCAGCATTGTTTTCCTGACACATTTGAATGCTGCTAAAGATTTGAGGCTATCCCCACATTGGAAGGGACAATACTCGCCCTAGGTGTGAGGATAGATAAAGTGTCAGGTTAGATTATCTATACTGACACCTTTAAATGCCGCTAAAGGCCATTTTTGTTATAGTGTGATAGTTCTGACCAAATAGTTTGGTTTATAAACAAAAAGAGAGTTTTTAAATGAGTATTTGAATCATATTCTTTTTTATTTAAATTATTCATTGCTTCTTTTCAAAAAATTGATTATTATGCATAGCAATTGATGGAAAATAAATAAGATAAATTATGATGACTCCATCTCTGAAATTGTCTGATATTAACATGACGTCCTCTAAACTTTTACTCAAGCATTGCACACGTGAAGATGATGGAGATGCTTTTCTAATTCAAAGTCGGGATATCTATTGTTGAATCCAAATTCAAACATAACTTCTAAAAGTATAAGGGATACATTTGTAATTACAACAAATGTGCATGGGGGCTTATTATGATGCGCAAAAATACAATAGTGCTAGATTCAAGGAATTATAAGAAAACTAACCGTCTAAAAATTCAATTCCATATTCAATGAAATTTACACAATTGATCATAGTTACTTCGTAAATAAAGAAGATCTCATACATTTAGATTTGTCAAAAGTATGACACAATTAGATTCCTCAAAACTTACAATCTCGTATGTTGGGACAATTAATCATAGAATGATGCAATTAATCGTATTTTTTCTCACATTTTTGGAGGTCAAAAATCAAAAGTAATCCCAAAAAAGCATCGCAAAGATGACTAAACAATTATTCGAGTTTAAATTCCTAACCAGATTCTACATCAAAACCAACATTCTTTTTATCCGTGTGACCATACAGTGGATATTTTGATGGTCTTATATATTCGATTGATATCTCTAGATGAATTTTCTTCCTATAATCCTACCAAGAAAATATTTTTGTGAGTCAATAAACAATTAAATGCTAATCAAAAGAATGAATAATAAAAATAACCTTTAATAGATTAAGGCACAATTTTATAAGAGTAAATCTTATACATATTGATAGTGTATACACTATTACTGTTGAATCGATGACGCGTGCAGAAGTTGAATTTCAAATTTAAATTTTACATAATTGTTGTTCATCAAAAACTAACAATGTATATATTGTCAGTATATGAAAGATAAATCCATTTTACCAACCTCTAAAGTTTTTCATAATATCACTTGGCACAATTGATGTCCCAAAAATATTACTTACCTCCACTAGTATTGAATCACAATAACTACACTAGACCTTTATTAGAACTTAATTCACAATTTCACATATCAAATATATGGACCTCCAAAAATTAAAGAAAAGTCATTTTCTTGTCTTCACTTTTCTACAACTTACCCTTGGTTCATTTTTTTTAATGATTATGTGATATTTAAAGTAATTATGGCAAAATTAGTCTATTTTCTTGTGATATAATAGATTTGTTACATTGATTTGGTGATTTTGATTTGATATTTGTAGTGATCTTGTTCAAATTGAAGCCTTAGGTCATTAGGGTTAGGAAAAGGTTGGTTAAAAGAAGAGTTCATAAGAAGTTGGTTTTAGGTGGATAAATTTAGATTAATCCTAGTGTATCCCTTTACAATATTTTTTAAAATTTTTATCTTTAGAGTCATAGTTTTGTTGTTGTTGTGACAATAGTAGGGATGGTTTTGAAGGTGGTGAAGATTTTAAGAATACAAAGTGTGGCATAGGAGTATTTATTATTTTGTTTCTTTTATGAGCAAAAGGAGCTACAAAAGAGTAAATTAGGATTTTTATATAAAATATATGATATTTTTAATATTTTGTTACACAAATAATAAAAGATAGAGAGGTAAGTGATAGTTTTAAAATCTCAAGAGTGCTAAGTGATACTATAAAAAATCATAGGAAGGTTTCTGAAATATCCTATAGATTGAACATAGTTGTTAAAATAAGATAATGAGAAACAAGATCATACCCTTTCCATATGCATTTATTGGTCAATTGGGAAGATACTAACAATATCCAAGGAAAAAATATTTTAAGATAAAGAGGTATTTAGATTTTGAATGAAAAAAAAATTCTTCTAACAAATTATTAATAATTTTTTGAAGAATGTCATTGCCATTGGTTGACAAGGCAGAGTAGAGTGATTGAGAACTTGAGATCAAAATTTGGCAAATAACATAGAAAATGGCTAAGCTAACTTTTAGAAGTGCAAAAAAAAAAGAATTTTGATCTAATTTCTTTCCTTTCTTTAGTTGATCTGAATTACTTTCTAAATTTTTGTCTAGTATCTAAACTCATCAATTTCCAAATAGATGACTTCTGCTAAATTTGCCATCTCAGTTGATTTTCTTCATGAAATTGTTTACAAATATCATTACTTACTTAAATCTACTCATATAATTTGTTTTGCCTATTATACTTTGTACAAATAAATCAAATTAAATATACCAACTTTAGAGATAGGATAATCATCTAATTTGCACAAATGATGAAGACCTAATAGATATATTCATCTAATTATGGCAGCTTCACGATGTTTAATTAAAAATCTAAATAATCTCGTTTGACATATTCCTTTCTAGATGGCAATTTGAAACAACAAAGTTTGGATGGGAAGTTAAGAAAGTGATAGACTCCTTTTTTTTTAAACAACAGTTAATGTTATTCTTGGTAGTGAGGAAACTGTGTAACCTTAATAGTGTATATCGACCAGAAGGAACACAGAAGCAAGGAAAACAATTAGCTAAGTAAGATTCTACATACGAAAACTACAAATAACACATCTCATTAGTAGAAAAATTGTTGAAGAGATCATTTTTCTCCAAACAACTCCAAAACCCTCGATGAAAAAAAAATTAAATTAATACATACATTACCAATAATTAATACGTGGTTGTGAGTTAACGAATCGAAATAAGTATTAGAAATCTTTTTTTTTGGTAAATTATGATGGAAAATAAAATTGAAAGTGTTTAAGAAACCAATTTACACTACCTAATAGCAAAATTCACTATCATTCTACGATAACTACATAAAACAAAAAAGCAATCTTTGTTTCACTATTTAGAAGTTTTGTTGTGTGCATTTGCAATGTTATTGTGTCTTTCTGCAACTGAAAGATCTATATAAATATCCATTGCATGAAACTGAAAATCACCACTGTTTCGACTCATTTTTACTTAATAAATGTGACCATAAAAAGTTTAGCAATACAAAGTTGCTAATATTACAAGAATTTATCAAGAAATGCAGAGGAGCAAATTCTAGACCAACTTTTTCGCTAGGGTTTTCTCTCCTACAGACCGAGCTTTCTCTCCTTGCCATTGGTGCCTTGCATGGCGGCCCTTCAACCTTCGGCTGAGGGGCAAGGAACATCCCCTTCCACAAGGAAGTCCTTCTCACAGTTGTTCTCCCAGCCTTCATCGTCACCAATACAGTTACGGCCTGCGACAACATACAAGGGTGAGGCTACCATCATATTTTCCAAGGAGGATGCGGACAGGTTGGCAGCACCTTTTCGATGGGCTTTGGTGGGGAAGTTTTCGCATGGTCAGCCAACATTGGAGGACATCCGGAAGTTCTTTGCTTCACTGGACTTGAGAGACCATGTTTCGGTTGGTCTGATGGACTATCGCCATGTGCTTATCAAGTGCACGACTGAGACAGATTTCAATAGACTATGGACACAAGGGATTGGGCACTTAGGTAGATTTTCGATGCGTGTGTTTCGCTGGAGAAGGGACTTCCATGTTCAGAAGGAATCATCTCTGGCTCCAGTTTGGGTGACCTTACCAGCTTTGCCGATACACTATTTTGATAAACACTCGTTATTTTCCATCCTTTCTCCAGTTGGGAAGCCATTGTTCTTGGATGCAGCAACGTCGGCAGGCACACGGCCAAGTGTGGCCAGGGTATGTGTGGAAGTGGATTTGGTGAAGCCTATCTGCTCGCAGGTATGGGTGGCAGTGGAGGGTGAGATTGGATTTTGGCAGCAGATCATCATAGAAGATTTACCTTCATATTGCTCAGTGTGTTGGCAGTTGAGACATTCTGTTGGTGATTACAAAAGGAACGCTGAGGAATTTGCCGCTCGTCGGGTACCCAAACTACATACGGTGGCATCGCATGCTCCCCAAGCTGTCGTAGACATGGTTCAAAGTCGTGGTCGCGGTCACGGTCGCGGCCCGGAACGTTCCACATATGTTTCGGCATATTGCTCGCGGTCTCGGTGAGACGTAAATTTTAAAGTATTTAATATTCTAAAAATTATTAATAATATAAAACAAGTATGCTAAACAAAAATAATAAAAAATAGCAAAAGAAATGGCCAAGTCAATCCGTCACGGTGTAACTCGGCCGATTTCTTGTCTTGACTCGGGATAACTCGGAGTGACTCGGTGTGACTCGGCTGAGTCAATCCGTCGTGGTGACGTCTCGGCCGATTTCTCGGCGAGTCAAGTATCTCGGTATCATTTCGTCACGGTATCGTATCGGTAGGGGCCGAGACGGTGACGACTCGGCCGAATCGTCTCGGTCTCGGCCGAGACTTCGAACCATGGTCGTAGACGCTAAGACGCAGGTGGAGATCTTTGCTAAGGAAACCCATGCAGCTCCAATTTTGTTATTTGCGACAGAGGAAGCAGGGATGGGTCAAGAGCATACGCTCGAGGGGTAGCGATCCGCGAAGAAAGTGCAGCAGATTGGGGCGGCGGAGTGTGCAGCTCAACTTGCTGGTGCGCAACAGGGAGCTGGGCAGCCTGTTGCCATGGGCAGCGCTGCGAGTGCAGGTGATGGGTCAGACGTCCTGGTGTGTGGGGTGATGGGTGCTGCAGATGGGAGTCTAAACCTTGAGCTTCACAAGGAGCCAGATCAGGGAAACGGGCAGCAGCTTTTGTAGCCCGAACAGCGGGAAATTGGTGATGGGCAGCCTGCTCAACTCCCGGATACCAGCCTGGACAGGAGTGATGGACATGCTTCGTAGCGAAGGAAGGGGAGATTGCGGAGATGTATGTTGAGCTGCCTCTCGTGACGGGCAACTTATCTCCCTGGATGATTGTGAGACAGGAAGATATAGCGGAGCCGTCGGTCCAGGCTTTAAACATAGATACGGTCACTAATGGTGTGCAAGGAATCAGGAAAGGGCAAGGGAAATGTGTCCGTGCGCGTTTCCCTTCCGATAGACAGCTGCGGTCTGCAACACCAACCTATAACTCCTTCCAAGTTTTGCCTTATGATTAACGCAATTTTCTAGAATATTCGAGGGGTTTCCAAATCCCCAAATCTTAGAAGATTGATAAAATTAATACGGATGTATGGTGTTAAGTTTGCTGTTTTTTGTGAGCCCAAAACTGATGTGTCTAAGATTGACTTCATTCGTATGCATCTAGCATTTGATTTAGTTATTACAAATTTATCGGACGACATTTGGGTTTGTTATTGCACTCCTTTCAGTTGTTCAGTTGTATGTAATTCAAGTCAGCATATTTCCCTATCTATTCAGCATCCCTTGCTTCCTGGTCCTGTCATCTTCTCATTTGGTCATGCCAAATGTTCTTCGGACAAGTGAAGAGAACTATGGCGAAATCTTCTTGCTGATAAGCCTAGATCCCTTCCATGGTGTATTGGAGGGGATTTTAATGTCATTATGGCCCCCCATGAAAAGCATGGAGGGCGGCCGATTGGTGTTTAGAAGGGGGTAGAGCTTATGTCTTTTATGGAGATGGCTTGTGACGCCCCCACTTCTCCCTAAGGCGAACTAAAGGGTATCTGCGGGACGCCTGCCCAACTCTCGCCAGGACTCACGCAAAACATTCAAGCTTATAACTAATCTAATAGTCACAAGTACAAAACATAAACACAGTGATGCGGAAGCGTTCAAGTTAACCATGATCATCTATTATCCAACCCGTACATCGGGTGTTCAAAATACAACTTTAAACCCAAATTCATCTCATGCCCAAATGCTACATTCCAAATACAAAAGTACAACCCAAAACCAAGAGGCATAGACAAAATGATGATAGAAACCCTAAACAAAAGTACATCAAGAGGGTTTCTCCAATACGTCCCCGGATCCAGTCCTGTTAAGGAAAACAAATCTATAGGGTGAGCAAAACGCTCGTGAGGCCAAGAACACACATGCAAGCACATTGCTCAAATAACAATCTCAATTTACAAGTCAAGCAATAATTAACAATTCGAGTGGGAAAAGTAAACAGAAACAATTCAAGAATATAGTAGCTCTCAGGAGCTGAGTTCCACTTGCACGAGCAATAACCTCCACGAATTGACACTCCGTCAATCGGGTAGGTTTAGTCTGTAGAACTCCACTTAACCTGTCCCCTTTCACCTTACATACCCCTGTATCGGGCCCGCCTGTCATTAGTTTGTGGCGATACTATTCGAGTATGCCAAGCAAGACCTCTCATTAGGTCAAACTTATATATCTCATGGTTCGCCAAGGTTCCCGACCAAGCCCATGCCGGCTCGAGTCCAAGGTCGGCCAATGAGATTTGGGCGTCCCCCATGTGCACTTGTGTGTCGAGGAGATTTACTCCAACGACGTATGCAGCTAGCATACCAATACATTTCATTCATTCAATGCATTTTAATCATTCATTCAATGCATTTCAATCATTAAAATTTCATTTCTAATGAGAACGAGTGTGGTAAAGTACACACTCGACTCCACTTTCAAGATTTCCAATCATTAATAACAATTAAACATGTAACAAGTTTACATACACCTGACACTCACCAAATATTAGATGTGAGTAAGGTCAAGGGAAGTTCAAACGTCCACCGGGGAATCCTCTTGAAGGTCCTCGTGTGTGCCTGAGCAAATAATAGTGAATTTATCATTCACATCCCAAATATCGAGGAATAAATCGTTCACTAGCATTAATCAAGGGAATTCCGTGAAAATGAACCTCAATTACTCGTAAATCGAGGTTCGAGTGGGGTTTGATAATGTTCAAAAGTATTTAAGTCTTTATCTAGGAAATTGGGGATAAAATGTTTAGATAATATCAAAAGAATAAAGAGTTCTTGAAAAACTCTATTTCCTTGAAATTGGAAAATTTCAGTTTTATTATGAATCTTTGAAAAATCGTAACTCACTCGGCACAAGTCAAGAATTGGAAAACTTTATACCGTTGGAAACCTCTTAGAAAGTACTATAAGTTCCTAGAAGATACTTTTCCATGAACCGAAGTGGAAAGTGCTCAAAAATGAGCTTGAAGGTACAGACTCGGTTTACAAAGCAGAATTAAGTTGGATTTCGGCCAACTTTGAAAATTCGGCACGATTCACACGTTGCAAACCGGCCTCTGAAATTTGTAACTCAATTAGAGTTGCAAGTGAGGTTTATAGAAAAGCAAGCAGATCAAGAATCGGAGTTTCGAGTACCGAGATACGGTAGCTCAAAGTTGGGGGAATTCAAGACTGGAGAAGAATTTCCAGATTTGAACCTCCAACACTAGAAATTTAATTAGGTATCGAAACGAACTTGGATTGGTACTAAAATTGGCAGTATTTTACTCCTATATGAAAGGTATCGCTCTATCAAATTTCAGGGAAAAATACCCTCGGGAAGGTAGTTAACTAATCATCCAAAGTTCCGGAAAATTTCTAAGGCAATCTGCCTTTTGACTTTCATTTCCCAATTCAAATCGTTTAACCAAGAAAGCTATCCAACCATGGTTCATTTGTAAAATAAAGGTCTAAGATACATCCATGATACCTTTGGTAATGGTTTAGCATCAAAAATTTCAATTAATAAGATCACTCCCGGGTTTTGTCCCAAATCAGTCCAAATATTACGTTTTTCCAAAACAGGGCAGTCCTCTTGTTTTGGTCACAACTCAGTCAATTTAGCTCGGAATTGAGCATGGTTTATGGCATTGGAAAATACATTCATAGGACTAAAAGTTCACAGAAGGAAACATTCTGAAATTTGGCAAGCAACCAGCTCGAAATTGAGCCTCAAGTTGCTGCCTCTACAAACCATTCCAGCAGATCCGAGAGACAGGACAGCTATCTTAAAACGAATGGTTCGGCTCCTACACATGGAATCAGAATACGCATTTTATACCGTTGGAAAGCTATGGATGTCTAGTTTCGAATGCCACTAACAGTACTCAATTTTGACATCGGAGGACAAAGTTATGGTCAAAATGCTACCGCTGGACAGGGTTATCCGAAAATAATTTTCCAGCTTGCCTAGTTCACGAATAAATTCATTTGCCCATCTAAACGTTAATGTTTTCCAATGAATATTTTTACACATATAACATAACATATAAACATCAGGTTCACGCCAATAAATCACCAAAAATTGGCCTTATCATGGCCGAACAAAACAGGGGCAGTTTCGGAAATTTCTTGTCATGACCTCAACTTTGAGTTTCCAACAATAATACTCCATAAATCCATCATTTTAACCACAAAACTACCATTAAATCCAACATTAATCCTCTAATCAGCAACAACCCAAGTGTGGGAATTCATAGAGCCCACTTTTCAAATTTTCCAACAATATCAAGCCATCCATCCACATGCAATAGCTTAAAGATGTATTTCTACCATCATAATCCAAGTTTAAGGTGTAGGATGAGGTTATACCTCCTTAGTGCTTTAAACCAGAAATTTTCGGTCCTCAAGAGGGTCCAATAAACCGTGAAATACAGCCCTTTAGTTAGCTAGATCCAACCTCCAAGTAGTTTGCTAGATGGTCTTCAAGTTTGGTGAAGATTGATTGAAGTTTTGTGGTTAATTTGATGAAGAAATTTGTGAAGCAAGGGAGTGAGAGAGAGGGAAGGCTGGCCAGCTGTTGGTGAGAGAAGAAAGAGTGAAATTTGATCAAGGTTAGCTTCCAAGAGAAGATTAAAATGAGTGGTGTAAATTCACTCCAAAGTCAACCCTCATTAGGGCTCGTTTGGTGCGTTTAGGGCTCGATTTCTCTCGCGTTTGGTTCACTAGTGCACTAAACCTCTAATGTACTTATGTTCATATAAATATTATTCACTCTTAATTGTCTCGAAATAAGGGTCTAAAGTCCCTCAAATAAAGCCGCGCGTATGAAAACGCGTACCGACAATTTTAACGCTATTACGCAAAACCTCCGAGAAATTCTTATAACGATAATTTTATTAACTATCACTTAAGTACTTAAATCTAAAATTACCTATTTTAAAGCCGTTGTACATGTCCCAAAATTTCCGGGCTAATTGTA